TCTGTATGCTGAAATCTGAAATCTATACAGCGCTGTATACATTTAGAATAAGCGAACTTAGCATTCTGAATCTCTGCATAAATATGATTTATGTTTGTGGTATACAACCACAAAAGAACAGGACAACTCATGGTCTCTTTCATGCCAGGAGGCACAGTCATATTAAAAACAACTTATTCAACTACTGCAAACGCCAAGGTCAGCCACCCCAGCCCATGATGATGCCTGGATGAACTCTACTGTCTCCTTGTTCATGAATTTCCTAATGGAAATATTCCCATCTGTAATGTTGAGTTACAGAGGTAAATGCTTGTAGTTCAAAGCAAGATGCCAAGATTCATTTCCCAGAAAAACAGGCTTGAAACAGAACTTACCACAAAGGCTGAGCATTCCCCATTAACACCACCACTTTGAAGTGGATACGTGTAATTAAGTTGAAATTAAATGTCCTCAAACATCAGTGTTTGCAACTCAGAACTTAAATACAAAACCACTAGTTGCTTTTGCTTAGAGGTACAAGAGCTCTGTATTTAACTTCTTAAAATCAGGCCATTTTTACATAGGTTATCAGACTGAAAACCTTTGGTCTCAGCTGCTGCAATTCATTCCTCAAAACAACTCTTAAAGCTGTCTGGGCTAATGAAATTGAAAATGATTTCATACATAAAGCCTGGGAGACCATGAGTATGTAAAATAATTGATTCTTGATACAAAAGCTTCTCAAGATGAGACAGACAGGATTACTCCATATAAATTCAGCCTTATTCTCCATTAGTAAGGGAATGCTTAATCTTGTAGACAGTATAGCACAAATACATACCTGCTGGTGGCCAAGCCTTGATATAACCAGTGCAATGGACAACAGCATATTGTGCTTCACCTTCTTTTACTGGGCCAAGGCCATTCCTAAATGAAAAGGAAACAAACAAACAAAAAAAAAACCACTGATTGATCCACAGAAAAACTTTATGATTTTAAACTTCTACTGAAGATTTAGATACTTGTAAGTTATGATGGAAACAGCCACCCTCACCCAGAGTTTTGCAGTCAGCTCCATTATAGTGCTATGCAAGACTCACCTGCCATCCACAGCATCTCTGGGAAGAAGATAATTAGTTCTATTTTGATGGAGATGGTTAAGACAAAGAAGTTCAGTGACTTCCTCATGGCCTGCTCCAGGGGCTTGTGGCACTGCCACAGCTGAATTTAGTGGCAAGTTCTTCTCTCCTGAGACCCAGTGCTATTTATACGCTGTATGTTACAGTACTAGCTGTATGAGCTAGTGCTGCTCAAATGAGCATTAGCCCAGGGAAAAATGAGCATGTGTCGAGTAACTAACTTTGATAGTAAATTAAGTAATAGTACCTGTATCTTTTTCTCATGGTGGTTATTCTGTTCAGAGGTAAATGATCCAGGGGAGCATTTCCACACCTAGAAGTAAATTGATATTTGAAAGGGCTCAAAAATGAATATAAATGCCTTGGATAAAAATGCATTTTAACAGCTTTATTGGTAGACGCAAGCCCACAGCAATAGATTATTTCTGAAAGGAAATCCTAGACAGATGTTTCCTTAGAACTTGCCGCTTCCACAGTCTGAGTTTCTTGTGTGTATCACAAACATTTTCATGATATTTCATGAAATCATATAATAATAATAATTTTCATGATAACTATATAAAGAATCCCCCCAAAACTTAAAGATAACTGGAGACCTCAAAATACTATAAAACAAGAGTGAAAACTAGACAAGAATACAAATCAGTCCCCAAAATAAGGTATCCACACAAAACAATGTCAGTGTAACCTCCCTAAACAGAGAAATTATGCATGTCATACACTAATCTAGTTTTTGCAAGAATGGACTATGTACACACTTAAGTAACTTTAATGCTTTTTTTCTTGTATATTTTGTGATATTTCTAGTTGTGCTTAACTGCACAGCAACCTACTTGTAGCCAAGTAAATAGTTCAAAGTAAGAAAACAAGAGTTTATTCTCAATAGAAAAAGAACAATAACAATGAAGAGTAATCACAAGGAAAGTTTCAAATTAGTTTCACATTATTTGAAGTAATTTTTCCCACAGGGTTGTTTTTTTTTTTTTTTCTTACACCAGCCACAGCCAAGGAGAAGGAACAACTACAATAAGATTTACAATTAGAACAATGGAGCTACTGGCATGTACAAAATCAATCTCATGCGCTGGAGTTTACAGAATCAGAGCATCAGGAAAAAACTGTGATTTGAGTTGTTGTTTCAAAAGCTGGAAAACCTCTGTAAACAAGACATTAAACCTGTTTTCTTTGCACAGACAAGTCCCCCCGACATGATCACTAAGTGCAGATAGGAGGACGCCTCGTTGCAAGTGCTTCTCTCTTGGCTGTATTTATTATTCCCTGAAATCAGTAATTAAGAGCAGTAACCCTACAGGAGACATGCACTTCTGTCTTTCAGAGACAAACTGCTGTCAGTCAGTAGCATCTTTCCTGTGCTGGCCACTCACTGGGAGCTGCTCTGCCTACAAATGCATCAAGCTCCTGTCCCTGTATCAACCTGGCTAGGTGACAACCGAACATCTAACTCCAGGCCATGCTTGGCAATGGCAGGGGGTTGCTGACTCCTTGTCAGAGGAAGAGAAGCCTGCTGATAGCAAACACCAAACCTCATTTTTCTATAGAAATCTCTGCTTTCTAGAGAAATCTCTGAATATCACATTATATTTATTGATAAATGGCAACAGAGAAAATATTTTTAACGTTACTTGAGGGGATGTATGCATGATACTGGATTTTAACAGGCATATTATTTTCCATTTCTGCAGATTATAACCTCAACACTGTGGAACGCTGCAAAAAGGGGCTATTTGAAAAGAGGTTCTCCCTCCTTAAAACCAGACCACTACAACTGGGGGGAAAGATACCGGAATACCTCGTGAATACCACCCTTTGCTGCCATTTTGGCATGTCCTTGTCTGATGAACCCTACCCAGAGCCAGCGCGTTACTACACTCTCCTGCACTGATAATTTGGTTAAATTATGGCCACTCTCCTGCATGTATCGACACAAAACAGTGAAGATGAGAGCACAGGGCTTCTCTGTGCAGACCAAAGACGAACCTTTGCATTGACTAGGCATAGCAGGATCTACAGCTTTGAAGCCTGATCTTGCAGGCATGGTAAACTACACAAAGCCCTTAACAAGGGCACTCAGGAGTCATATATATTCAGCCTCCTCCTGTGGCTGGAAGAGCCACATAAGCAGAAGCATGGGCATCTGCTGTAAAAGTATGAAATGTTTTGGTTTGTGTGTTTTGCTCCATATCAAATTTTGCATCATCTGTTCTCACCACGTGTATTGGATACAGGATACAGATGCAATTACGTACTTTCCCTATTAACCACATGGAGAGCAACTTATTGCAATAATGATAGACCTTTTTATCTAAAAACACAAATACCCACAAGTCCTAGTCAGAAACACTAGGCAGACACATACCTAAGAAGTCCAAGAAATGCAGGAAAAGTCAGAAAACTGCAAAACAAACCCTTTAACAATTACTCATGTAGCCAGAATAGACCAGCTGACATCTGGTTAATTCACAGCAGGCTTAGGTTAGTTTCTTACCCTGCTGGCAAGTTTGCAACTGAATTCCTGTTTAAGATTCTTTTAATATTATTGGTTTGCTGAAAAAATACACAGCATTGGGCTCTCGTTACACTTGTGAAAGTGTTGGTCCCAAAGCATTGATTCGAATAATCTGACTTGAGGAGACAACAGTTTGCGTTCCAGGGACAAAGTTGTCATGCAATTTTCTGGGGAAAGCGCACAACATACCCCACTGATAAAAATAACTGCTGCACGTATAGGGGGTACTGCTTTAGTCATCAATCACAAGGAAAAGCAGGTTTCGGGTATACTTGAGTTACAAAAACAAGCATTCTGGACATGCTTAATAGGAGTGTGTCATGACAGTTTCAGTTTTTAAACAGTCAATCAACAAAATGTAATGCCTGAAGTTTATAATCTGGGAAGGAGTTGGAAACACTGCAGGAACACAAAGTAAATGCCTACCTCATTCTGCAAATGAAAGAGCGCCTCGATCCCATGCACATTCTCATTGAGGACTGCTGACCCTCCTTCTTTACTGTGCCAGTCTTCAAGTCCAGTATTCGTCCTAAAAAAAGCCAGAGGGACTGTGTAGCACATGCATTTAATATCATATACAGCAAGATGTAGCAGATACAAGATGACAATATCTTTATAAACTAAATGTCATCAGTCCATTTAGGAGAAAAAAGAAAACAACAAAAAAACGACTGATCTTGCTCTTCTCAGATAAATCATTATTTAAACCAGTACATAATTTAAGTGAGTCATAAAACTGCTCTTTTCTTACTCATGTTGGCTCAAGGCCAATTTCTAAGGCTGGGTCAAAATGCCTGAAGGCAGAGGAGTCAGCAACAGAAAAAATAGCTTTAAACTTGTGTTTTTTTCTCCATTCCTTATCAAAACTGCAGATAAAGCATCATTTCCTTGAGAGTTGTTTTTCTTTGCTGCTCTCATGTCCACCTCACACAGGAGGATGCCCTCACCATAGCAGAACCTCTTGCGGCGATGGCCAGGAATACATCAGAGCAAACTCTCTTCTTGCCAATGAGATACATATGTGACAGCAGCACCAGTGCTGAGGCCCTTGCAGAGCTGATCAGACTGAGTATGACACACTAGCGGTTTTTAAAGATTAATCTTCAGCTGAATCAGTGAGAAGACCTGACTTACCGCACAGCAACCTTGGATCTACACAAGGTCACACTGCAGATCAGTGCAAGCTGACCCTGGACCTCTGAACCTCACTCCAAAAACACAAAGTTGGAGAGAGATGACAGTGACCATGACAAGGCATCTCAAGAGAGGATGTGATGGAGGGCACTGACATTCCTACAGTAAACAGGGGACGATCCAACAAACATAAATCACCAAAAAGGTAGCAAAGCAGTAGCACAGATTAGTCTCTCCATACTCCTGAGAGGGAACAGAAGACAGTTACAGAAAACTTCAGATCAGAGTAGAGGTATTGCCTAGAATCCTGTTGCTTATCAGCAAAGGACAGATGAATTTGACTTCTGCGTTTACAAGTCAGCTGCATCAAGTACAGAATCTTGCACAGAATAAAACGACCCCTTGACCTACATATACTGTGCTTCAGGGCTGGATACAGTCACAAAGTGATAGGGCAAGAGGCAGACAGTAGGACAACAGTTATACAATCAACAGCCAGCCAGCAGCACTGATGGGACACAGAGCCTTCTGTCTTAGACCCCGTCACCCAGCCATGCAAGGCCCATGTTTAGGATGGGAACAGTATCTTTCAGTAACTGGGGCTATAGAAACCTTGACATTAAAGCCTTCATTATGATACAACAATAACTATATTTGCAGCAATACAAGATACATGTTTGTATGAAATGAAATATCCTAGAATATACTTAAAGCCTTTTTCATTAGATTTAATCAAAAGCCTCTGTCCAAAAATATTAAGTTCTGAAGTTGTTCTACTGCCAAACTTCTGCATTTCAGAATTAACTGAAAATATTTACCACCATCCACAAATGGGAATAAAATCACTACAAAGTCCTTTAAAGATTAAAATTTTTAAATAAAGAGCTTTGCAGCAGCAGCATTTTATTGTAGATGTATGTATTAATGTACAATTCAGGTGTGAGCTGGAAGGAAGTCACAATACAATATTTCTCAGTTCAGTTATGCTGGCGCTGTGGATAGAGTTGAGATTCAAATTCACTCCACTTACCTGCATGGGAGAAAACCTTGCACAAAGGCAGCATCCTGTCTCCTGAACCACAGACCATTTTCCCAGTCCCTTAATTAACAGCCTTTCATTTCTCTAAATTGTGGCTATTTACAAGAGGTGACACATAGCTAAAGATAACATATGACAGTGCAAGTAAAGACAGAATATCTATGCAGAACCCAGTGACAATCCATAAAAGTTAGCCAAATCAAACCACTAAAAACATTTTTCTCTTTGAACATAACAATGTTGTCATATAAACAAAAGAGTTGTTTGCTATGAATTTTTTCCATACCAATAGAAATTCCTGGCGTGACATTACTGATCAAAAAGCAGCGACCAAAGTGTAATTCAAACAGCTAATGGAAATTTCTCAATTTTGATCATCAAGGACCAAGTATAAATAGAAGTGCATTTCAAAATTACACGGCTGCTAAGCTTAAAATTGCTGACACATGTTCCTTTGGCAAGCTTGGAATTCCAATCCCAAAACAGCAAAAGTCATATTTTTTAAAGTTAGCTTTTTGTTTGGCAAAGTCTTAAACAGATGCACCAGATAACAAAATGAGTGGCCTAAATTTTGCCCTGACTTACAGAATAACTTGCAGGGGGTGGCAAGTGAGTCAGGACGCGGTCTGCAATGAAGGTGTTAGGAAAGCAACACAGCAGAGTCCATCACATGGGCGCTCTAACCTCGCAGAGCTCTAACAACACCCTGCAGCTTTGCAGACAGAAAAGCCATTTGGGACTTGTTCGTTATTTAATGATCACATGCACATTACAGCAAAGAGAGGAAGAATTAGAGATGAATAAATTGATGACAAAGCTTTCAATATAGCTCAAACCCACCTGCCAGTGCACTCCGTGGGACCGCCTAGGACACGGCATAGCAGACAGGCCACCTGTGGAGGCGGCAGCCACACAGCTCGTGCCGGGCCCTGCACCCTCTCGTCCACAGGATGGCATATAAACTAACTACAGTTTTCTCTGTTCTGCTGTTTAATGATGGCAAATCTGAAACAGTGTCATTCCTCCTCATTCCTCCCCTCTTATTTATTTTCATATGAATGTCTCAAAAACAAACAAACAAAACACACTTTCTTGATCTAGATTTCTTGGTCTAGACTTATGGCACTTAGCTTTTACTAAGTACTTCTACTGAAAGGCAGACCCAAAACAGGGAAGTCACAAGCTGAAGCTGTATCACAACATTTGCCATGACTTCTTTTTGCTGTGAAAATCCACAAGTGCAGCAATAATACAATGTCATCTGGTACTGAAACAAAAATCACAGTCTTAACTGCTCCCTGCACTACTGACCACTCCATGCCAGACTGGGGAACGGACTGGCCCATACTACTCCACCGGGAGAAGTCACCTCCTCCCAGCCTGGATCGCAGCGTGTGGTTGCTCGGCACACACCAACGCGGCAGAGTCCTGGCCACTGCTGCTGCTTTGGTTCTTGCTGGGAAGTTACTGCCTGGGAGGTCTCAGCAGGTTGCACGCAGGAGTCCTAAGAGCTGCTCCTGAGCCAGGCCCCGTGAGTTAGCAGCAGAGCTCAGGAGCGGCTTTCACAGCCTCGAGCGACGCTTCACGGCCGCTGCTCCTGCCACGCGCCCAAGCGGATCCCGCACCACAATCATGCACGCGGAAATAACTGTCAGCTCCATGTCACGGGCACAGCCGAACACAGGAGATGGTTACTGTGATGTGAGCTCTGTAACAGGACCCTGCAACACTCACATCTGTGTGTAAAAGCGGCAGCTCTTACACTACTGCCGCTTCCTTGCTGACAAGTGGACATTGCGGTTTCTCCCCAGGAAACAGGCACGGAATACCTTTGATGTTATCACTGGCAATTACATTCTGATTAATAAGAAATATTTTAGGATGCTATGACAAATTCTTACAACTGACTAGTGCAATTGAGACTTTTTTCTCTTTCATCTTCTAGTTTCTTTAGGAAAAAAAATCCAGACATTTATTTTAGTCTCATACACCCTGAAATACAGTTTGCCAAGTACACAGAAAATTCTCCATTTTCCTCTCACTTACCAGCAGGCTGACTGCTGTCTTGCACAGAATCTCAGACTTGATGAGAAAACTGTCTGAACTAATGAAGAGTCTCACGATGCCTTCAATACTATAACCTCTAGCAACTCATCAAGCTTTATGCTATACAGGATAGTGCCTTGCCTTACAAAGAACAAGTTAGATATTTTATAATTATTCTCACACACTGGATTGTCTACATATTTCTTTCCAGGCAAAACAAAATAAATGATAAACTAAAAGTTTGGTTTGGACAGGATAACAAAAGATGACTTTGTGCTCATCAAAAATACTCCACAGGCTACTTGGGGAAGAGAAACAGAACACAGGAATACTGCAACAAAAATCCTTATGAAAACCAAAAACATCCTAATTTTAGTATTAAAAAAAAAAGGCAAGGATGCATAAAAAACACACAAGAGGAAATAATTAAAAATAAAAGCAAAGTGACGGTTGCTGACCCTCAAATGGAAGGGTCAACGAACAAAGGGCTTACACTGTGGTGATGCTCTTTATTAGTATATTAAACCTTTAAAAAGCAGCAGGAGAGATCATCTTCAGGATGTACGCTCTTAACCAAAACTTCTAGCTGCTATCCCATAAAGCAAAAGCATCCCCGTCAGTCATGAGAGTATCTCAGGATGTAAAATATGTGTGTGAATGCAGCATGAGTGGTTGTAGTCCTCATACCCCCCTGCAGTGCCAACTGATACCAGCTGCTGGCTGCTGCTCTGGCATAAACAATGAAGCTGCAGAAAACTAAAGTCTTTTTTTTTTTTTGCTTATTTTTTGTTTACCAGTTCAAGTGTATGCACTGTCTGTGGGTGAACATTCAGCTTTACACTGACTGAGGTGCTCGACTGGCCGAGTTCCTCTTGAAAGCAAGGGATACACTAAGGATACATAAAATGTCTTCAGTAAGAAGATTAAATACTTTACATTTGATCAATTCAGATCAAGTTGCTCTTGCTAACTGATAATAAACTCACGCAAGAGCAAGGCAATTGTTATTTATTAATTCAACGATAAAAAGAAAAAAAAAAAAGTTTTAAACAGATTGACCCTTACAGCTGTAAGGGAAGGTTATCTCACATTTAATGCAGCTCAGCAAGTGTTTAAGCACTATTAAGTTTAATAAATATACACTCTCCCCATGGATCCAAAAATAATTTTTTTTTCCAGATGATATAAGAATATGTTAAAAATCAAAACTGAGATGCAAACACAATATCTGAGGGTTCTCCTTCCTGGAAGTCAAGTTTATGAAAACAAGAAACGGCTCATGATATATAAATAAAGCCATATACACATAA